CTACTCTGAAATAAACTCTTCTCACTCAAGGGAAGACTTTCTTTTACATTGTGATGTGGAATGCAGACTAATTTTTAAACAGAATGAAAGATAATTCAATTGAATGAGTTTTTTCCACCTCTTAGAAAAGAAAAATGACAGTTCAATCCTTGGGCCAAAACAAAGATGTCTGAAACAACTTCATATGTTTTTCAAATGCAAGGAGAAAAGAAAAACCTATTACAGGGATCTTTGAAGACATTTTTTTCCCAACCCTTTCAAGTTTGTACCACATAAAATCAAGACCTGAAAATAGGAAATCATCAAAGAGCGGAAATTCTGATCTTAAAACGTGGACATCTTAACTTATAAATTTCTTCTCTAGCACACAAAAACCTATCCTCTCCAAGATTATGGCCTGCAACATGTGTTGTTTATACAAGATGAACAGAATCTAAATCATGAATGTTATTAGCCACACTTAAATATTTGAGGTATGAATGTTTATCTTGGAAAAAAGCTTCCTTTTCTGGTATCTTTCTGTGGTGATTTGTTTTTTTTGTTTACCTCTGTTTTCCAGTGACTGATATGTGTTCTTTATAGCTCACAGCAAAACGACTAATAAGAAACAGGAATTTTGGTAGCAGCAAATGTTTCGAAGCACAGTCACTGCCCTGGGTATATAGCACACTAGTAGACTTCACTGAGCAGTATCCCACAGCTTGTATATGATAGGAGAAGTCTGAGTGAAGGCAAAGTGTGCTTTTCAGCATTTACTCAAGCCTCTTCGTGTCTTACCATATTCTGTCTGCGACTGTCTACAGACTACACAAACACAGATTTCATATCCATGTTCTCAATAAATAAGACTGTGCAGAGGGATCACTGATAAACAGATACAGAATTGGAGGCAATGCACTGAGTTCAGCATTTTTCCTGACAATACTCAGAGGAGGAAGCAAGAAACACTGTAGTGGCTGCAGACACAGTAATTCATCTCTGTGCCTCATCCTAATCCTTAAAAGCTGTAAACTGGCCTCAAAACTGAAATATGAGTTGAGTATCTGTTTAAAAAAAATATTATTGGAATTAGCATTCAGTTTCTTTTTGCATCTTGCTGAATTCTTGGCCTGGAGTAACATCCTGCGGCAATGTGTTCCACAGACTAATTGTAAGTTGCATGAAAATGTACTCCCTTTAATCAGGGAAGGAGCACTTGTCTGGCTTGATGGACCAATACTGCTCGTATTGCCATTCCAGTGATGTGCTGTCATAGTACCCTGAGAAACCAACAAATATGCAGAGATGTGGCAGTTTGTACTGGGAAGACACAGACACTGAATAGCAATACTCTGTCCTTGCTTTGCATGCATATGCTTCAGCAAACTTGGCACATCAAATCTGCAGGGTCAATATAAGAGAGCAAAAGCACTTCCAAACACTCTTCTCTGCTTCATTTATCATCTGCAATTGATGAAATATTCATTAGCACCAAGTCCTCCATTTTAACCAACCAGGCATTTAACTCAGTAAGTGTTGAAATATTTTTTCTCGACACACCAGAACATCTCAGAGCTACTATATAAATAAAAAAAAAAAAAAGGAAAAATATTTAGGTATTTTAAAAGATTAAAACATTCACAGTGTCTTCAGATGCTGTTGATGACTATCATTGCCTAAGGAAGCAAACAGATTGCTACTGGCCACAACCCAGGCTAGAATCATAGAATCAACCAGGTTGGAAGAGACCTCAAAGATCATCAAGTCCAACCCTACCGTTGTTACTAGACCATGGCACTAAGTGCCACCCCAGTCTTAGTAATCCATCTGCAATCCAAGGTAGAATCATAGAATCATTAAGGCTGGAAAAGACCTCTGAGATCACTGAGTCCAACCTTTGACCCATCACCACCTTGTCAACTAAACCATAGCACTAAGTGCAATCTCCAGTTGTTTCTTGAACACTTCCAAGGATGGTGACTCCAGCACCTCCCTGGGCAGCCCACTCCAATGCTTGACAACCCTTTCTGCGAAGAAATTCTTCCTGATGTCCAATGTGAACTACCCTGATGCAGCTTGAGGCCATTTCCTCCAAGTAGCACAGCCAGAGTCAGGGCCAGGCTCTGGTAGCTGGTCAGAGGAAAGGCACAGGGCTGCAAGTTACAGTAACTACTCCAAATATTTATTCAACTTCTTAAAGGGGTTTTACTGCTGCTACTTAGCTGCTGTGGTTCAAAAGCTACCAGTACCCAAATAAAGTGGTTTAAAGTTCTCTTGAACTACTTTATACTACACTGTAACCACAGCACTGGCTGAAGCCTGGACACCCACTTCATTAGCTATTTGAAACCACAAAAGATGTGGCAAATCCAAAGAATCTCCTTCTATAACCCCATGTATTTTCACCAGAATGATGACAGATTTATCCCTGTGTACTGATTAATGTTATTTTCACCTTGAAAATTCTGAGCTTCTTTTTTATTTTGCTAACTGATTCGCCAATAAAATTATAAAAGCATAACATGCTGAAAGCTGGAATTTTCTTCCTGAGCTGAAATCAAATATTTTGACATTTATTAGTTCCATAAAATGTTGCTAAAAAAATAAACATTTTTGAGTTCATAAGAACCATATGCTCTTCTGTTTATAAAAAAGAGCTGTGCTGGGACACTAAAAAAACATTCCTGGAGAACTGCATTCTTTGGGGGATTTACTTTTTTTAACCCTTTTCCCGATTATCAGGATCTAGAGCACATTTGCAGAGTCATTGCACCTCTGAAGTCCTGTGTCAACACCATTAACTGTGTTGCTCTACAGAGTTAATTCCAGCATTACTCTGTATTTACTTCAGCTGGTATGGCTGTGTTAGGTATGGCTCAAGGGTGAAAGGAATTACCTCGAGTAGCTTAGCAGACATGTGAGGGGGCCATGTACCCTGAGAGAGCTCATATGCCTTGCATCAAAGGAGTCCTACAACCTATGTAAAGCTTCCCCAAGATTTGCATTATCTGAGGAATTTTCAGGTGGTTGGTGGCCTACACAACAGCAGTCCCCAGTCTTCCTGAGTTGAAAAAGGCAGCATTTTAGAAGGACACCTTGAAGAAAGGGTGAATGACTAGCAATGTTTAGTAAACCTACAGCAATTCAGGCTGAAAAGGCTCAGACCTTAAGTTTAAGCCAGGACAGATAATTCGCGTTGGATATATTTGACTTTAAATCAAGTTTTGCCTTCAAGCAAGGAAGCATGAAATTATCCCCATGTGTTCTGTTTCCACAGGGTTTTGAAGTGTTCAAGATACAGGGTCTACTAAGTCATTGAATGTAGAGGTGCAAAGTTTGCATTAGAAAAAAGGCATTGGAGTAAAACTTTTTATTTCTTTGTTTACAGAGATCTCATTTCTATTAACTCTTCATGTTTTCAGAGGTTCAGATCAGCATCATTCTGAAAAAACAGAAGGCACCTTTCAGCCTGACTCCCTCAAGTTTTCTGTCTCACAGACTGACTCTCTGTTGTCCCATAAGGCACAAACACCAATTAAAACCCTTATCATAACTGGTGCCTTCAGAATCATACTCATCTATGTGGATTTTTGAGCATCTAATCTAATGAGGAAAGTAGTCACACTATAGCCTTTCCCTCGGGGAGCACTGATTTACATGCCACTACTCAACCCTGCTGCCTATGTTCAGGCCACTTGAACATCTACTCTTAGAAATTCTCAGTCCAATTTCTGTCTCAGTTAATGCCCTGTGTCTAATGCTGAAGTCATGCAATCCACCTCAGTTCATAGAATCATAGAATGGTTTGGGTTTGAAGGAACCTTTAAATGTCACCTGGTTTAACCTCCCTACAATGAGCAGGGACATCTTCAACTAGATCACATTGCTCAGAGACCCATCCTTCCTGACCTTGGATGTTTCCCTCTCTGGGAAACCTGTTCCAGTGTTTCACCACCTTCACGGTAAAAAAATTCTTCCTTACTCCTAGTCTCAATCAACCCTCTTTTAGTTTAAAACCATTATCCCTTGTTCTATTGCAACAGATCCTACTAAAAAGTTTGTCCCCATTTTCTTATGACAGCTACTCAATTTTTTGTGAAAAGAGTCAAATAAGTCTCCATACAGTTTCAAACCTGGGCATATCAGTAGTCTTTACTGAAAGGGAAGACTGTCATCTATACCCTGAAGTGCATTATTCTGTCCTGGGAAGAACATATATATCACATTAAAAAAACCCGAATAACAAAAAGCCCCACAGAAAAACTCCATATAAAAATAAGTTTTACTATACAAATCTTCCAGCAATTCAGATTTCCAGACTGCTACACAGGACTACCCACCTCTCAAACTGAAAAGTCTTGTTTATTGATGCATGGCCAGGACGACTGCACTTGACAAGGACAGTTTCCTGAGAGAAAGAAGCCGAAATATTTATAGTTAGTATCACTGGCACACACACAAAAAGGAATACGTATCAATTCTAATGTTCCAGGTGACAGCAGCAATTAAGGAGCAGAAAGTCCAAGGCCCTTCTCCTGCAGTCACCAATACATGATGCTTTAGAGCCTGTATACTGCAATGAACTTGCCAAACCACAAAAAAAGATCTCAAAGTCCATTCTGGTTTTGAGATTTAACAACCAACAGAAAACATGTGCACTTAAGTTCAAGAGAAAGATCCAAACACTCACCTGAACTTCTTAGGTGCCTAGAAAGTGACAGGCAGGTAAACCTAACTGACACCACAGGTAGAAAAAATGCAAAAGGACCTCTTTTTTCATTGTTGGGCAAATATTCGCTGTGCTTTTTCAGATGGAGTTCATACATAGTTATGTGCAGAACTAAGCAGAAGCTGCACACTTCATAGAATAACATGCTAGTCCACAACAGTGAGAAAGAGCTGCACTAGCACAATGGATAGAATTCCATGAGTTTTTAGTGGAACCCACTTTCCATATGAAGCATACAGTAGCTTTTTAAGTCTGACAAATAAATAAGCAGCTCTTTAAACTATTACCAGAATACAACCATCACAGCAGTCTGACATGCCTTATGTAGCAACTTCTGTGCCCTTCTCCTCCTCAAGGTAAATGTTGCTTAATTGCTGAGAAAAGCAAAGAAAAATGATCTGGGGGTTTACAACATTTTGGATGGAAGCTCACTAGTACACAAAATACTTCATCTAATTTAAGGAGATTTCCTAGTTTACTAACCTGTGGCTACATTACTGCATTTGATGGGAGTGCTGAAATTCCTAATGTGCTTCAGACAAGTGGCTTGGAGTACTGAACTAGTGGCCTTCAAACAAGTACTGCCACAGACTAAAGTTGTAAAGAGCTGAGCAAATAACGTTTGCGTAACAGTGTGTCCAGTGTGCAAATGGCTAATAAACATCAGATTTCTTGCTTTGAGTTTACAAATATTTTTTTCCTCTTTGGAGAAAGCCAATGTATCATTATCAAACTAATGATGACAAAACACTTACTGTACAGAACGAGCTATGTTACCCACCTCAGTACAGGCAAATTTAGCAGAGTACAGATGTCAGTACAACACTGATACAAAATGGCCTGACACAGAAATTCTAATAGGATCAGTAACCAACAGGCACTGGGGGAAGGAAAAAGGGAAAGGATATAGAGTTACAGAACACATATCTGATTCAGGTATCAAATTTACTTGCAGACCAGCTTTCTCTAGGGTGAGAAATGAGACAGAAAAAAACTCTATTTGCATAACATAGAAACAAAAGAATTAATTATTAATAGGCAGAAGTTTCATATGAGCATTTGTAATGACCTTCCTTTCTCAGGAGATCAGTATGGCCTAACATATCCACCATGGCTGCTGGCCTGCAGAATCTCAGCAGGTTTCCCTGCCAATAGGGCTTATGAAGTCCATACAGCTGTCTCATGTGTACACTGAAGAACCTTTTTTTTCACCTCCGCGTCACAGAATACTCCCAGTCTGAGTTCCTTCAGGGCAGTATGAATCACGAAAATGACAAAAGGATACTTCAGAAATATTCGCAATCATAAATATTCACAATCTGTCCTGACATCCAAGTCTGACTTCCCAAGCCTGGGGAGCAGATCAGTAAGTGAAATTCCATAAGGAAGAGAAAGAATTTTCAGTTAGTTATATGGAATACTGGATATAGACATGATCACAGAATCCAGTTCAGGTAATTATAATTTCTCATCGCTTGTTACTCTTTATCTCCTAAAGGCTACGTCCCCTTTCCCAAGACTACTGCTTCACAGCAGAGCCAATGGAAGAGACTGGGACTGCCCCTCATGTTTCACTGTCAGCTTCAGTGCAGCAGCCTGACATAGCACTGAGGCTGACATGAGCAGCTTAAAGGACTGCCCACAGTGGGTAAGCACTAGGGTAAGTGATAAACAACTGGGGAGCAGTTGATATATTACAAAATTATCTCCCAAGAAAAGGAGGGTCCTATGCTGAAGAAGCAGCAGCAATTTGTGCCTTCCTTGATATTCAGAGCAGCCTCTTTACCATCCATTTGAAAGGAATTAATCAGGCAGAGTCAGCCAATTTCTTTTCTCTGTGCTAAAGGAAGTTGGATTCCAGCATCACTTCAGTTATTAGGCTAGGGCAGGTGCCTCAGATGCTTACATAGTCACGGAGACAGACAAACGTATTTAAAGTTTAACTCAGACCTTAGCTGAATGACTCTCCCTCTGGAGGTGGCTACTTTTTCTCAGCAACCACAAGGGAGGTCTGGAGTGATTAGGCACCTCATTTAAGTGTCTGCATCTGGTGTTGTGAATCCAGATGAAAACACAGCATGTCAGACATGACACCTGTAATCACTAGTGCACACAGCACGATGTCAAGCTGAAGCTGGTCCAAAAGATCCAGCCATAGTTTCTGATGCTGGACTGCATTGTCAATCTCAAAAGTGGCTCTGCTTTCTGACACACATTAGCTATAAAATGATCATGGCAGATAACTGACTGGCTATGTTACACACAAAGTATTTTCAGGAAAAAAGACTGGAAAGGCAGCCATGATCTAAAAAGCAAAACTAATAAACTCAGCATCTCTATCTCTCAGAGTCTTCCTTCACCTTGATCTAAAACTTCCTTTAAACCATCAGCACTGGTGTGAAAAATGGTTAATTTGTTTCCAGAAATACAAGCCTTGACTGTGTTGCAACTAAAAACTCAATAACAAATCAAGCCTCATAATTTAATCTGCAAACTGCGTATTTATCCTAGCCACAAGCGTAAAACCTTCAGTTGTTAAAAGCAAAATAAACAGGCAATAAACATTGTTTTCCTTTACTTTTGTTAGATTAGTCTAAATTTATTGGGTTTTGTAAGAAGGATTTTTACAATTTTTTTTCTTAAAAAAAGATAAATCATATTAAGAAACTAGCACAGAGACTTAAGGTGTTTGACCAAAATTGGAAAGCATTTTAACCAAACAAATGTCAAGGGAAACCAATAAAACATTTGTAGTCTATGTTGTTTTTTCCAAACCAGAAAGTTAGTATCTTGCAAATTTCATTTTATGATCAAGACTTACATTTCTATTCCTGAAATATTTAATAAGGTTAACACATTGAAGGTTACCAGGTCACTCTTCCATAGAAACCAAAATTCATAAATTGGCAAAAGAAGCAGACACTGCTTTGCCTGTAAACACACAGATACTGTAATACATCACATATGTATATGCAATAATTCAAAACCTAAATATTGCCTAATTTCATCTTTATGCAATAAAATTCAGCAGGTCAGAAATGATCATGGTATTTTATGGTACAATAAATGGGTCATGGTTTCCAGAATACTGTCAGCCCTTACAGAGCCCTGATTTTTATCTTCTGACATATTTACTCTTTCTTAGTCTCTTCATGTGCTCCATTAGTTACCTAATTGCATATCTCTCTTTAATTATCCACATTATGCAAGGGATATCTTCCTAGCAAAATTATAATTTGGGAGATTTAAATGCATTATATACTGTCGGTCACTTCAGCAATATTTTAAGCATTACACTCTAAAAGGGAATTTGGCTAATCACCATGTAAGTAATAGTGAGCAGCCAACTAAGAACTATGGCAGCTAAGAAAATTAAAACTCAAGTTAATACTTTGACCTTAGCTCACACCACTGTGTGTATTTAAATTTTCTATCTTGGTAATGGTCTCAATTAATGCTGGAATGTCATCTGGATTGGCAATCTCAATGTTCATTCTCCTTCCTCCAAAGGATCTTAGTCAGGACACTTTTAATATGCTTGACGACAGTACTACATAGGCTGTTGTGGTTCATGAGGTATCACATTTCTCTCCTAATGCACTGTCTTGCAATAATAAAATTTTTAAAAAGCCTGACATAATTTTAGAAATAGTTAAGGCAAATACAGGTGGCTCAAAGTGACTGACTGCAGGAAGTCTGCAGCAGTTTGACTACTGCAAACACACGATCTCCGGTTAATGCATGGCTGCTTGAGCAGAAACTTCAAGCTATTGTCACTACAAAGAGCCAGGATGAAAACAGCACAAATCACCTGCTATTGCATCCATGAGTGATCAAAGCTGGGTACCAACTGACAAGAAAGTACCTTTTTATGTTTTTAAACTCATGTTTCACATGTCCCTCTTGTTTCTTCTTCTAGTATCTATGAACATGATTTTGAATTTCACCATCAAATACTCACATCATCAGCTGCATATGCCAC